GCGTGGCCTGTAGGCGCGGGGGTGGTAGCGGAGCGATGAGGGCTGAATAAATTTCTGAATGAATTTTTCTAGAATTAAAACGACCAGAAAAGAATGAGATAAAAGGACAAAAACAAAATAAAAAGTTAAAATTGCAAAGGCTATTGAAAGTTTTATGATCAATAATTTTTTTTTTTAAATGGAATTTCCGTATGGTATTTCATTGAATTTTTATGTCTTTTTTTCTTGCTTAACAAAAAAAAAAAAAAAAATGAGAACAAAAAATATGATAGGAAAGAAAAAAGAAAAAAAACCTAAAATTACAAAAAAAAAAATCATGTTTGCTATCTGTTTTGATGATAATAAATTGAATAACTCAGTGATTAAATTAAATTATGAAATAATTTTTATTTTTAGTTGCAATATAATATAGAATAAAAGAATCAATTAAACTATTTAGTACCTAAATTAGATTAGTTAAAAAAATCAGCGAAACAAAAAATATTCATTTAAAAATGATGAAATTAATGAAATTGAAAAATATTTTTTCTTTTTAAGAAAAACTAATTTTCTTTTAAAGTTTCAAAGAATTTGGTAAATATTGTTACTGTTATTGTTATTATTGCTACCTTTCAAATTTAACTACTAATATATGTCATACCTTTTTTTTTTTTTTTTTTTTTCAAAATTTGTCTACTTAAATTACTATACTTTTTTTTTTGGTGATATTTAAATGGTTATGCTTTATTTAAATTTATTCTAGCATGTGGAATTCTAGCATGTTTAAGGACATCTATTTGCTAATATTTAATTTAGAATATTTGGAATGTAATATTGTTTATCTTGCATTGTATAATAGCTCAAATATTTTAGAAAAAGTAATAAAGTAAAAAATTAGTAAAAAAAAAAAGTAAAAAATTATGTTACTTATAAATTTAGTCATTGCTATTTTCAATTATTAGCAATATTTGATTCTTGAATTTGCAATTCAATTTTAAGTAATCGAATATTAGCTCATATTTCAGATAATATATGCTAATCAATGGCAATCAATGCAACTAATAAATGATCAAAAAGCAATTCATTTTCGTCCTTTTTTTTTCTTTACATTTAGGAAAATTATCATTGAATAATAATCAGTTCAAAAAAAAAAAGCATTGATCATAGCTAATTGATCAAAATAACTGCAATCATTTAGAATCAAATCACGATCATTTTAGACAAATCAAAAAATGATTGTTTTAACTATCCAATAAAGCTAATAACAATTTTGTGGACAAATGTTCAATTATTTGACAAAATTTTCTTTGTCGCAAAAAAAAAAAAAAAACTAATCATAAAATAACAATTGAACACTGAAAATAAATTGATAATTAATAATAATAATTAAATTTTTCTTATAAAATTCCTCGAGTATGAAATAACAAATTTTGTCACTTATTTTTTTTTTTTAAATCCTGAAATTGGTAATAGTTGTAGTTCCTTCAAAATTTGAGAAATTTTGAAAAAGCAAAGATTATTTGTTATAAAAATGAGCAAATTTCAAAACATATTTATAATTAATTTCAGGATAAAAATCCTATCAAGAATTTACATGTGGTTTGAATTTATAATCTTTTCAATTTTAATACCAATAATTTTTGAAATAGTTTTTAATATTACTTTAATTAAAAAAAAAATTTATTAAGTATTACTTTAATCAAAATCAAAAAATTGATTATATATTACTTTAATTTATTATATATTACTTTAATCAAAATCAAAAAGTTTAGCAATTAAGCTTACATATTACCTTCATGCTGAAAGCTAAATGATTGCAAAATTTCAAATTTAACATTTTCTTACACCTATTTTTATTTTAAAATAACTTAAAATTTTTGTTTTGCTAGATTTTTGTAGCTTAATTTAATTAAATAAGCTTTACCGATTGATATATTTCTCGAGAAAAATTTTTATAATTTTTGCAATCTGATATAAAAATTTGACTTTAGTGATAAATTTATAATTGATATAAACTGTTATCATATCTCTACTAGCCAAGCCAATAAGTGTTAAATTTTTCATCTAATGTTACCTAAGTTTCAAAAGCAGAATTTTATATTTATATTTTTAGCTTAAATTATATTTTTGTCAAATTAATTTTTCATTTAATTAAGAAAAGTTTATTATTTAAAAAATTCCATTCAGTTTTAATAGTTTCAAATAATTACAGCTATCAGTTTTACGTAATTTATGCATATTTTAACAATTTCAGCAGTTTTATGCTTATATTTGAATTTATAATTTTAATTTTGCGCTCAAATCTTTTTTAGAATAATTGATTCGTGATAATATGAAGTTATTATCAGAACTATATTTGATAACTTTTAAAAATAACTAATTAATTGATAATTAGTAAAACTGCTATAGAATCCTAATTATTATTGATTAAATCTATTAGATTCAAAACATTTGCTGTTAAACTGAATGAAATTATGAGAAATTTAATATAATTTTTTTTTTTTTTTTTGCTCATTAAATCATTAAATGATCAATGCCGCATTCTTTAAAAGCATTAATTGATTCAACTGATTTAATCAATATTATCAAATCAGTGTAAATAATTTACCAATATTATCATATCACAATATCAATGTAATTTAAGTAGATTAAGGATATTAAATGTTAAATTATTTTTATAATATCAATATTCTATCAGTTATAATCAGTGTGACATTTTTGTGACAATTTCTCCTTTCCTAAATTCATTTGCATTCAAATGAAAGCACTTTTAATGATTTGTTAATTTATCAATTTTTTTTTCTTAAACGCTCTTACGCTGATCACACAGCTAATTGATAAATAACACATTTCAATTGTTTAGCTGATAAGATATATCAAAATGAACTTTTATAAGATTGATCTGAACATCTTAGCTAAATCATTCATTTATTTTCAAATTAATTTTTATTATCATAAACAACCAACAATTTAATTCTATTAATTTCATTCTTTGTCTTTCACAGTTTTTTTTCCTAAAATTTAATCATTTCCCATCCATTAAATCAATTAATCTATTTGATAATAATAAATCAATCTTATGTGCAACAAATAATTCTTTTTTTTTTTTTTATCTCATAAATCGATTTGAAAATTGATTTATTATTATCAGTGTGTTTCAATCAGTTACAAAAGTGACAAAAATATTCACAAACATTTCAAATTTTTCCGACTTAAAATTTTCAAAATAATTTTTTATCACTTGTGCTTAATTTAAAAAAAAAAAAAAAAAAAAAAAAAACTTATTTTCTTACATATTTTATCAATTCATAAAATTTCAAATTTTCATAAGAACTTTTTTTTTTTGAAAAAGAAAGAAAAGAAGATGTATAACTGTATTATAATGTAATTTCATATCACAAAAATTATCCTATTATAATGAAAAAATCAAATGAAATAATATATCATTGACATATAAATAGCAAACAAAATTAATTATCATATTAAATTAAAATTTGAAATTAGGAAAAAGAGAACAATTCATTTTATTAGTTATGTCACATTACTTTTATACAATTATTTCAATCAATACAAAAGTTTTTTTTTTTAGTTTGATTCCATTTCAATCAACATATATAATAGTTTGATTCCATTTCAACATATATCATATTCGATACATTTATTTATTTTATAATTATTATACTTCCCAGAACAATTTTCCCAAAAACTTCAGCTAGAAAATCAAAATTTATTACTTTTTCTAAAATATTTGAGCTATTATACAAGATAAACAATATTACATTCCAAATATTCTAAATTAAATAATACCAAATAGATATCCTTAAACATGCTAGAATTCCACATGCTAGAATAAATTTAAATAAAGCATAACCATTTAAATATCACCAAAAAAAAAAGTATAGTAATTTAAGTAGACAAATTTTGAAAAAAAAAAGAAAAAAAAGGTATGACATATATTAGTAGTTAAATTTGAAAGGTAGCAATAATAACAATAACAGTAACAATATTTACCAAATTCTTTGAAACTTAAAAGAAAATTAGTTTTTCTTAAAAAGAAAAATATTTTTTCAATTTCATTAATTTTATTACTTTTTCTAAAATATTTGAGCTATTATACAAGATAAACAATATTACATTCCAAATATTCTAAATTAAATAATACCAAATAAATATCCTTAAACATGCTAGAATTCCACATGCTAGAATAAATTTAAATAAAGCATAACCATTTAAATATCACCAAAAAAAAAAAGTATAGTAATTTAAGTAGACAAATTTTGAAAAAAAAAAAGGAAAAAAAAAGGTATGACATATATTAGTAGTTAAATTTGAAAGGTAGCAATAATAACAATAACAGTAACAATATTTACCAAATTCTTTGAAACTTTAAAAGAAAATTAGTTTTTCTAAAAAGAAAAAATATTTTTTCAATTTCATTAATTTCATCATTTTTAAATGAATATTTTTTGTTTCGCTGATTTTTTTTAACTAATCTAATTTAGGTACTAAATAGTTTAATTGATTCTTTTATTCTATATTATATTGCAACTAAAAAATAAAAAATTATTTCATAATTTAATTTAATCACTGAGTTATTCAATTTATTATCATCAAAACAGATAGCAAACATGATTTTTTTTTTTTGTAATTTTAGGTTTTTTTTTTCTTTTTTCTTTCCTATCATATTTTTTTGTTCTCATTTTTTTTTTTTTTTTTTTTGTTAAGCAAGAAAACAAGACATAAAAATTCAATGAAATACCATACGGAAATTCCATTTAAAAAAAAAAATTATTGATCATAAAACTTTCAATAGCCTTTGCAATTTTAACTTTTTATTTTGTTTTTGTCCTTTTATCTCTTTCTTTTCTGGTCGTTTTAATTCTAGAAAAATTCATTCAGAAATTTATTCAGCCCTCATCGCTCCGCTACCACCCCCGCGCCTACAGGCCACGCCTTCGTCGCCCCGCCCCTAATACGCTTGCTTGACCACGCCCTTTTCGCCCCGCCTCCGCCACGCCCGCATGGCCACGCCCCTTTTCGTCCCGCCCCCCGCCATTACTGCACCTCTTATCACTGTACCTCTTATCACTGTACCTCTTATCACCGTACCTCTTATCACTGTACCTCTTATCACTGCACCTCTTATCACTGTACCTCTTATCACTGTACCTCTTATCACTGCACCTCTTATCACTGTACCTCTTATCACTGCACCTCTTATCACTGCACCTCTTATCACTGTACCTCTTATCACTGCACCTCTTATCACTGTACCTCTTATCACTGTACCTCTTATCACTGTACCTCTTGGTACCGTACTTTTTGTTACTGTACCTCTTGTTACCGTACCTTTTGGTACCGTACCTCTTGGTACCGTACCTTTTGGTACCGTACCTCTTGGTACCGTACCTTTTATCACCGTACCTCTTGGTACCGTATCTTTTATTACTGTACCTCTTGGTACCGTACCTCTTGTTACCGTACTTTTTATCACTGTATCTCTTGGTACCGTACTTCCTATCACCGTTTTAACAAAGGATATGGTACCAAAAGGCGCGGTAACAAGAGGTTCGGTACTAAGAGGTACGGTAACAAGAGGTACAATAACAAAAAGTACGGTACCAAGAGGTACAGTGATAAGAGGTACGGTACCAAGAGATACAGTGATAAAAAGTACGGTAACAAGAAGTACGGTAGCAAGAGGTACATTAACAAAGATACGGTACCAAAAGATACAATAAAAAATTACGGTACCAAGAGGTACGGTGATAAAAGGTACGGTACCAAGAGGTACAGTAATAAAAGATACGGTACCACGAGGTACAATAACAAAAAGTACGGTACCAAGAGGTACGGTAACAAGAGGTACAATAAGAAAAAGTACGGTACGAAGAGGTACAGTGATAAGAGGTACGGTACCAAGAGATACAGTGATAAAAAGTACGGTAACAAGAGGTACGGTACCAAGAGGTACAGTGATAAAAAGTACGGTAACAAGAGGTACGGTACCAAGAGGTACAGTAATAAAAGATACGGTACCACGAGGTACAATAACAAAAAGTACGGTACCAAGAAGTAGAATAATAAAAGGTGCGGTAACAAGAGGTACATTAACAAAGATACGGTACTAAAAGATACAATAACAAAAATTACGGTACCAAGAGGTACGGTGATAAAAGGTACGGTACCAAGAGGTACGGTGATAAAAGGTACGGTACCAAGAGGTACGGTACCAAAAGGTACGGTAACAAGAGGTACAATAACAAAAAGTACGGTACCAAGAGGTACGGTGATAAAAGGTACGGTACCAAGAGGTACAGTGATAAGAGGTACAGTAATAAAAGATACGGTACCACGAGGTACAATAACAAAAGTACGGTACCAAGAGGTACAGTGATAAAAGTACGGTTACAAGAAATACGGTGATAAAAGGTACGGTACCAAGAGGTACGGTACCAAAAGGTGCGGTAACAAGAGGTTCGGTACCAAGAGGTACGGTAACAAGAGGTACAATAACAAAAAGTACGGTACCAAAAGGTACAGTGATAAGAGGTACGGTACCAAGAGATACAGTGATAAAAAGTACGGTAACAAGAGGTACATCAACAAAAGATACGGTACCAAAATACAATAACAAAAATACGGTACCAAGAGGTACGGTGATAAAAGGTACGGTACCAAGAGGTACGGTACCAAAGGTACGGTAACAAGAGGTACATAACAAAAGTACGGTACCAAGAGGTACAGTGATAAGAGGTACGGTACCAAGAGGTACGGTGATAAAGGGTACGGTACCAAGAGGTACGGTATCAAAAGGTGCGGTAACAAGAGGTACGGTACCAAAAGGTGCGGTAACAAGAGGTACGGTACCAAAAGGTACGGTACCAAGAGGTACAGTGATAAGAGGTACGGTACCAAGAGGTACGGTGATAAAAGGTACGGTAACAAGAGGTACAATAACAAAAAGTACGGTACCATAAGGTACGGTACCAAAAGGTGCGGTAACAAGAGGTTCGGTACCAAGAGGTACGGTAACAAGAGGTACAATAACAAAAAGTACGGTACCAAAAGGTACAGTGATAAGAGGTACGGTACCAAGATACAGTGATAAAAGTACGGTAACAAGAGGTACATCAACAAAGATACGGTACCAAAAGATACAATAACAAAAATACGGTACCAAGAGGTACGGTGATAAAGGGTACGGTACCAAGAGGTACGGTACCAAAAGGTGCGGTAACAAGAGGTACGGTACCAAAAGGTGCGGTAACAAGAGGTACAATAACAAAAAGTACGGTACCATAAGGTACGGTACCAAGAGGTACGGTACCAAAAGGTGCGGTAACAAGAGGTACGGTACCAAAAGGTGCGGTACCAAGAGGTACGGTGATAAGAGGTACAGTGATAAGAGGTACAGTGATAAGAGGTACAGTGATTAGAGGTGCAGTGATAAGAGGTACAGTGATAAGAGGTGCAGTGATAAAAGGTACAGTGATAAGAGGTGCAGTGATAAGAGGTTCAGTGATAAGAGGTGCAGTGATAAGAGGTACAGTGATAAGAGGTGCAGTGATAAGAGGTACAGTGATAAGAGGTACAGTGATAAGAGGTACAGTGATAAGAGGTACAGTGATAAGAGGTACAGTGATAAGAGGTACGGTACCAAGAGATACAGTGATAAAAATTACGGTAACAAGAGGTACGGTACCAAGATGTACAGTAATAAAAGATACGGTACCACGAGGTACAATAACAAAAAGTACGGTACCAAGAAGTAGAATAATAAAAGGTGCGGTAACAAGAGGTACATTAACAAAAGATACGGTACTAAAAGATACAATAACAAAAATTACGGTACCAAGAGGTACGGTGATAAAAGGTACGGTACCAAGAGGTACGGTGATAAAAGGTACGGTACCAAGAGGTACGGTACCAAAAGGTACAGTGATAAGAGGTACGGTACCAAGAGATACAGTGATAAAAAGTACGGTAACAAGAGGTACATCAACAAAAGATACGGTACCAAAAGATACAATAACAAAAATACGGTACCAAGAGGTACGGTACCAAAAGGTGCGGTAACAAGAGGTACGGTACCAAAAGGTACGGTAACAAGAGGTACAATAACAAAAAGTACGGTACCAAGAGGTACAGTGATAAGAGGTACGGTACCAAGAGGTACGGTGATGAAGGGTACGGTACCAAAAGGTACGGTACCAAAAGGTGCGGTAACAAGAGGTACGGTACCAAAAGGTGCGGTAACAAGAGGTACGGTACCAAAAGGTACGGTACCAAGAGGTACAGTGATAAGAGGTACGGTACCAAGAGGTACGGTGATAAAAGGTACGGTAACAAGAGGTACAATAACAAAAAGTATGGTACCATAAGGTACGGTACCAAGAGGTACGGTACCAAAAGGTGCGGTACCAAGAGGTACGATGATATATGCTAATCAATGGCAATCAATGCAACTAATAAATGATCAAAAAGCAATTCATTTTCGTCCTTTTTTTTTCTTTACATTTAGGAAAATTATCATTGAATAATAATCAGTTCAAAAAAAAAGCATTGATCATAGCTAATTGATCAAAATAACTGCAATCATTTAGAATCAAATCACGATCATTTTAGACAAATCAAAAAATGATTGTTTGAACTATCCAATAAAGCTAATAACAATTTTGTGGACAAATGTTCAATTATTTGACAAAATTTTCTTTGTCGAAAAAAAAAAAAAAAAACTAATCATAAAATAACAATTGAACACTGAAAATAAATTGATAATTAATAATAATAATTAAATTTTTTCTTATGAAATTCCTCGAGTATGAAATAACAAATTTTGTCACTTATTTTTTTTTTTTTAAATCCTGAAATTGGTAATAGTTGTAGTTCCTTCAAAATTTGAGAAATTTTGAAAAAGCAAAGATTATTTGTTATAAAAATGAGCAAATTTCAAAACATATTTATAATTAATTTCAGGATAAAAATCCTATCAAGAATTTACATGTGGTTTGAATTTATAATCTTTTCAATTTTAATACCAATAATTTTTGAAATAGTTTTTAATATTACTTTAATTAAAAAAAAAATTTATTAAGTATTACTTTAATCAAAATCAAAAAATTGATTATATATTACTTTAATTTATTATATATTACTTTAATCAAAATCAAAAAGTTTAGCAATTAAGCTTACATATTACCTTCATGCTGAAAGCTAAATGATTGCAAAATTTCAAATTTAACATTTTCTTGCACCTATTTTTATTTTAAAATAACTTAAAATTTTTGTTTTGCTAGATTTTTGTAGCTTAATTTAATTAAATAAGCTTTACCGATTGATATATTTCTCGAGAAAATTTTTATAATTTTTGCAATCTGATATAAAAATTTGACTTTAGTGATAAATTTATAATTGATATAAACTGTTATCATATCTCTACTAGCCAAGCCAATAAGTGTTAAATTTTTCATCTAATGTTACCTAAGTTTCAAAAGCAGAATTTTATATTTATATTTTTAGCTTAAATTATATTTTTGTCAAATTAATTTTTTCATTTAATTAAGAAAAGTTTATTATTTAAAAAAATTCCATTCAGTTTTAATAGTTTCAAATAATTACAGCTATCAGTTTTACGTAATTTATGCATATTTTAACAATTTCAGCAGTTTTATGCTTATATTTGAATTTATAATTTTAATTTTGCGCTCAAATCTTTTTTAGAATAATTGATTCGTGATAATATGAAGTTATTATCAGAACTATATTTGATAACTTTTAAAAATAACTAATTAATTGATAATTAGTAAAACTGCTATAGAATCCTAATTATTATTGATTAAATCTATTAGATTCAAAACATTTGCTGTTAAACTGAATGAAATTATGAGAAATTTAATATAATTTTTTTTTTTTTTTGCTCATTAAATCATTAAATGATCAATGCCGCATTCTTTAAAAGCATTAATTGATTCAACTGATTTAATCAATATTATCAAATCAGTGTAAATAATTTACCAATATTATCATATCACAATATCAATGTAATTTAAGTAGATTAAGGATATTAAATGTTAAATTATTTTTATAATATCAATATTCTATCAGTTATAATCAGTGTGACATTTTTGTGACAATTTCTCCTTTCCTAAATTCATTTGCATTCAAATGAAAGCACTTTTAATGATTTGTTAATTTATCAATTTTTTTTTTCTTAAACGCTCTTACGCTGATCACACAGCTAATTGATAAATAACACATTTCAATTGTTTAGCTGATAAGATATATCAAAATGAACTTTTATAAGATTGATCTGAACATCTTAGCTAAATCATTCATTTATTTTCAAATTAATTTTTATTATCATAAACAACCAACAATTTAATTCTATTAATTTCATTCTTTGTCTTTCACAGTTTTTTTTTCCTAAAATTTAATCATTTCCCATCCATTAAATCAATTAATCTATTTGATAATAATAAATCAATCTTATGTGCAACAAATAATTCTTTTTTTTTTTTATCTCATAAATCGATTTGAAAATTGATTTATTATTATCAGTGTGTTTCAATCAGTTACAAAAGTGACAAAAATATTCACAAACATTTCAAATTTTTCCGACTTAAAATTTTCAAAATAATTTTTTATCACTTGTGCTTAATTTAAAAAAAAAAAAAAAAAAAAAAAACTTATTTTCTTACATATTTTATCAATTCATAAAATTTCAAATTTTCATAAGAAC